TGCACCACCACAACAAGTACAACAGCAACAATGACAATATATACAAGAACACGACAAGTAAATCAACTCAAGAACTTTCAATCACAAGGAGACGGTAAAACTAGCTCACAAGGAATAATCACAATAGAGAATACTAAGCGTAATAAGAACAACTCAATAAGAGAGAAAATAATATGGAGCAACGATCCTACAATATGTAGTTCAACAAAAAGGAATCTAACACGAATCAATTAATTCCAAATAAGGGAATGCCATAAAAGTATAGGATATCTAAACTTATTTTAAGGTTGGGCAAATTACGAAGGATATACAATAATTTCAATTAAGGATGAGTAGCAGGGATATAATCATAACCTCAATTAAATTTGTAAATGGGATTCTAAAAATACGTGATCTATTCCCGAGCTAGTTTTTAGAGCAGTTGATGCAAAGAACGTAAAATATAATGATAAAATGCGAGCAAAAATGGGATAGTAATCAAACCAAAGGGGACTGTTTCCCGGGTGTGGAGATGGTCGATGAGACCTCGAGGTCGGCTTTAGTATCGATCTCGAAGTATCGGGGGCAGTCGGAAATGGGATGACAGGCAGAGATATGATCGAGCAAGGCTCTATGCTACCAATATTGAGCAAAGTAGTAAAGAACAAATAAGAGAATGATAAATGCTAAAGCGGCCTAGGGCTAGTGAGGGCGAACAACTTAGAAGAAAAGAGAGAGAGAGAGAGATTATTGCACTTGTGAAGAAATGGAGCAACATCTATCCCCCTACAAAGATGTGGGGATCCCCTTTATATAGGAGGGAATTTCTTGTATTACAAAACATGTTAATCATGAAAGTACATAGATAGGACGGCTAGATGTGACACCTTGAAAATAGGACTCAGAAATGCTGGCTTTGTCAGGTCGAGTCGCGTGACTTGGGAACTTCCCCCTTGCTTGTCGTGGCCCGTTGCATTAGTCGGAATGCTATACCATTCGGATCAGCTCTAGACGAACCCCGAGGATGAGTCTCGACCTTGGCTACGAGCTTCAAGGGGCATGACCGCGAGATGACCTTACGATGGGGAATTCAGGCCTCCGAATTTGCCACATACAGATAGCCTCCGCATTTCTTAGAGTGAAGGAGACGAGAAGCGATGAGAAACGGTTATGAACTCCTGCTTCCTCCGGCATCCTTGAGAATGGTTGTGGGTTGTCAAGGCATGCTATGCGCGCCATTACCGTGAATTCCAGCATTGACTGCGGTGGTTGGCCTCCTTTAATATACCCACGATGCTCTTATAAATATTTGTTTATTCCCTTTCGTATCCTATTCAGAACCTTTTAGTGAAATCTGTTTTTCCTTTGCTCCTTGCTTCTCTTTTTAAGAGCGCGACGCTCCCCCATTTTATTCTCTCTTGGAATTTCTCAAAGATGGCAAATTTTTCCACTATTGCTTCTTAGGAGGTTGCGGGATCGTCTTCTTCATTCTTCTTCCAAGGAAAAGTAGCCGCTCCACCCCGTATCGAAGAGTGCGTCTGAGGACCTTTTACGATGACTTCATATTTTAGGGTCGAGAGACCCTCCTCGAAGTCAGGACGTCGTGAACTAGTAACTCAATATATCAGTTGTATAATGGATATTAGGAGAGTGAGGGCCGACTGTTGCTGGGGGGATGCAGTGCTTGTGGAGATTCCCGCTCAGGATGTAGACATTACGACTCACTGGGCTGGCTTTCTGAGCATGTACACCTACCTATTTACTTTGGGAATGGCGGGACCTTCTTCACCCTCGATCGACCCTATGATTCTCAATTTCTGCCGGAGTTACCAGGTGACTCTGGGTCAAGTCCATCCTTCATTCTGGCGTGTGGTTTATATGATCAGGCATTACTTGAGCATGATAGAGGGAATGCCCTTTACTCTGAATCATCTGATCCAGATGTACAACCCTCGTCTCCTTCGCGGGGGCTTAATCAAGCTTTATTGTCAAGCCCTGAGATCCCTTTTCTCCTGTATCAAGGAATTTGGGGACAACAAGTAGTTGAGTCGGTTTGTCTGAGTGAGGACATCTGATTTGATCCTAATGGAAGATATGACATTAACTGAAAAGTGGAACGCAGCGTGTAAGTGAATGCGGAGCCTCTGCTTCCCTTTGATGATTTCTCCTTACGTCCCTAACTCTATTTTTCTTCTTTGTCTTTTCAACCGTAGCGGTCTACCCTGGAGCGGTGTCTTTTCAATGTTGGGTTGACCGTTTATACTCGATTTGCCCATAAATTATCACGTGTAGCAGGATTTATCCGGAACCCGGTGGGAAGCAAAAGATCATGGTAAGTTCCGACTTTTGTTGTATCTGCGCATTTTAGCACAACTTGCTGCTAGCGGCTCTTCCCTTTCTGTGCATTTGATCCCTGCATTTATGTAGGTCTGGGAGGAGTCCTACTAATAAGGGAGGTGCCACCCGTCGGAGGGGACATCCCGGTGCTTGATGAGGAGAAGAAAAGGCAAAGGAGCGCATCTGTTGAACCACCGAAGCTCAAAAGGACCAAAGTGGAGTAGTCCAAGGTGGATTGATTAGTTCGGGCTTCTAGCGCGGCAGGGAATCCTCGTGCTGAACGTGAGGGAGAAAGCAGCTTTTCAGCACCCTCCGAAGATCATTTGGGATCGATTGCTCCTTAAGCCGAGGAGATAAATGCTTCCAGACAGCAGTCTGATGCTGGCGCGGCTCGTCTTTATGGTGGCGAGGCAATGGATGGGATATTGAGTACTGGTTTTGACTTGGCAGGTAGCCAGAGTCCTTATTGAGTCGGGACGCCCTTAGCAGGTGATCTGAAGGAGCCTCAATCGGGGACTCGGGATGAACGGGGGGCGGACATTCCGGCCGACCCTGTTGGCCCGTTGGTTATTGTTGATTCCTTAAAAGGGGGAATACTTCCATCTTCCAGAATGCGAGACGAGCTTCACAAGGATCTTTCCAAGGAGGGAGCACTGATCGAAGGCGGAGACGCACTCGGGAGGCCGACGATCACTCTTGAGGGTAGTTCCGGGATCAACGCTTCCTCTATTTTCGGCGAGATGGGCAGGCTTTGTGAGCGGGTAACTTCATCCATCCCCATTTGTTACTTCGGTCCACTTCGATCTTTATTCCCTTAACATTTTTACGTGATTTCAGGCCGAAGCACTTTATAATCAAGCCCTCGCCTAGTATTAGGACGAGGTGAGCCATCGCAAACACGAGAAAGCCCTTTTAACCGAACATGTTATTCATCCCCTGTTCTCACTATTATATGAGCTTCTGTGGAATTCTACTATTTTTAACCCCTTGGGCCCTGATTCATGCAGTTTGAGAAGGAGAAACTTTTACTGAGAGGGGAGCTTCAGGCCAAGGACGCTAAAATATTCGAGCTTAGTCATCATGTGGACGAGGTGATTTCTGAAAGGGATTGCCTTAGGAGGAGAGTCACGTCGATAGAGCGTCAGCTTCATGATGCGACGGAGGATAGTGGCAAGTACAAGAGTCTTCGTTCCAGGATGGTGGTCGCACTGCTTCGGATCAGAGCCGAGTCCGAGGCGCTTGTATCTTTACACGGGGAAGCAGCGGTCACTGAAGATTCTCGTGTTAAGAGGACCTTCGAGGGGCAGACCCAACTTTACCTCGAGCTGCGAACCGCGCTTGGCCGGACCTTCTAAGGTTAACCATCGAGGGCATATTGGAAAGCAGCTCGAGCGGTGTTAAAAATGGGGATTGCTCCTCGGAGAGAGGGGACGCCGTCGAGAAGGGACTGTTAGGGGATTTGTAACCGCCTGGATGCAACCTTTGAGGATGCTGATTTGACAATAGATTTAGGTTGTGTTGTTTTTTCCTGTTGATCTCCCTGTTTATATATAGCACTTTTATTTTGGCATATGTATAAGGAGAAATCTCATTACTCTATTCCCTTTGTTGGCAAAAGAACATTGAACCCGGANTTTGTCTCGAGGTTTACTGATTTTCACTTTCCTCCGAGATCGGACGATGGAGGTTTTTTGTCCCGTGCCCTTGGGCATTCATTGTTTTAACTATTTGGGTCCAGTCTCTGAGTCGCGTTGCGACTCGGGCTGTAATTAACCATCATGTTCTTTCCTGCCTGCATGGGCGGATGATGATGGCCTTCCGTGCTTTGAGTCGAGATGACCTTACAGGTGCGTGGCATGGGGGCTCGCTTGGCTAGCGGTGATGGTATTTATGTCATGCCTTAGGCATTTTGCACTTTAACTACTCTGGGTCCAATCTCCGAGTCACGTTGCGATTCGAGCTTTAACCGACCCTTAAATTTCCTCGACTTCCTGGCCAATGATATTGACACTTATGTCGTGCCCTTAGGCATATTGCAATTTTGGGTCCACTCTCCGAGTCGCGTTGCGATTCGAGCTGTAATCAACCCTTAAATTTCCTTGAGTTTATGGCCGGCGACAGTGGCACTAATGCCGTTTGGTCGTTGAGACCTTTTAGTATGTGGCCCGGAGGCTTACATAGTTAACTATTTTGGATTCGGTCTTCTAATCAGGTTATGATTCGAGCTCATTTAAATCCTCAAGTTGTCAAGATTTTTTAGCTGGCGACAATGGCTCTTACGCTATTTTTGTCACGCCCCGAACTCGGGGGGCGAGACCAGCACCCAGTGCCTTACCTATCCTTGCGTACCAACTTGCAAATAAGGGACTCTGAACATATGATGTCATATTTTTGGTCATGGGCCACATTGCAAGATGACAGCGAATGCTGACTAACTATCAATATAAAACTCGGCCGACAAGGCAATAAATATTTATTATAGCTGACAAACCAACCAAATATACATACATGGCCTGAAAGCCCAACATACTACACTAACTAACAAGATATGTCTACAAGCCTCTACTAATGGATATACTATGATGGGAACAGCTCTCCGACCTACTCATGACATATATACATATATATATACAAGATATAGATAAGGTTGTAGACTCGGAAACTCTGAAAGGCATAGAGCTTACCAATAATGCTGAACTCGAGCAACACTTATTGAAGAGGTCTACACGTCTGTCTGTCTGACCTGCACGCATGAAATGCAGCGCCCCATAAAGGGACGTTTGTACAAAATAATGTACTGAGTATGTGAGGCAATATACTGAAAGCTGAAACTGAAATGATAATATAATAATTGCAAGTAGCTGGAAGTCAAAGATAATCTGAAAATATGCTTACCTGCTGATATTCACTCAATTTTCTCAATATAGTAAATAAAATAGCTATCCGGCCCTATAAGGCTCGGTATACATATATATATCTACTCTGTCGTAGTAGGCTCGCTCATAAGCGTTCGGCCATACTAGGCTCTTTATCTCGACCAACTGGGCTCGCTCATATGCGCTCGGCCACACTAGGATCATCATATAACATACCATCTGATCAGATGTTTCCCAATAGGAGCCTGTCCATCGATTATAGCTCGAGGGTAATGAAAATACTTTTAATACTGTATATCTAAACTCTCTGCTCTCTTGATTCGAAGAGGGAAATACTCAATTGAATATAAAGTCCAGAAAAGGAGAATATTGTAACTTACGAAACTAGAAAAATATACGTAACTTGTGAGACAACAAAATATACGCAAATTCCGGAATATGATTTTTTCTCTATGGCTTGTTACCAATCTTGTGTAATGACGAGATCATGCAAAATGAAGGAAGAGCTTAACCTTAACATACCTGAGTCGACTCTCTTGAAAATCCCTCTAACACCGGTCAATTACGAAAAATACACGTGACAACAAGATCGGAGTAGGGAAAAAATTGTGTGATCTTCTTGCACAAATTAGCCTAGTGCAGACAAATACTATGAACATAGTACTAACTGCAAATCCAATCGCAGTCATCACCAAATTCATCCTGAAGATATCATTTTGCCAACTCTTTTTTTTCTTCAAGATAGAAACTTTATTATCCAATACTCCAACAGTCCAACGATTGAATATACTTGAAAAGTTTCAATTTTGCTACTCATTCCAACACAAAGCAGATTTTACGCTGTACCTAACTCATATAATCACAAGATTGAAACTTGGATTTTCCCAAAATAGCGACTTTAATTATCCAAAACTACTATAGACTAAAAAATGAATTTCTCACAAATACATAAAGAAAACGAGAAAAGAGCTTCATGTAAAAATCATTCGTGCTTCAAAATAATCCTAATCCAAAGTTTGATCAAAGAAATTTTGTTGCTGAGTTCTATCATGAAAAAAAATGTTAAAAATAATAGTATATTAACTCCTTGTAATGGTGGTCTCTCAAGATACTATATAAATATATAGTAATTCCTTACATATAAAGTTGATTTGGAAAGAGTTGAAATCTTTGTTCCCTTCCCTTACATACTGCCACGCCACTCTCCCTTTTAAATGTCTTATTTCTAATCATGCCACCTAGTTTAGTGAAGGTAAGAGTCACATTGTTGCTATGCCAAAATATGCCACGTGATGTTCTTATTTAAATTATTTTTAGATAAATACTAATTATCCACATAATTAAAAATTATCATAAATTACTTAAAATAATACTCACTTTTAACATACTTTGTACACCTTAATATCATGGCCAAGTAGTACCTTGTATGGCACTAGTCCATAAATACCGGGTAATTTAGCTCGGACCGTATTTTATCCCAAAATTTCAAACTTTGACAAAATTAATTTTCTTAGACTGCTTCCCTTTTCACCTTCATGAATTTACTAATCACTTGTGAAATAGCATAGTCCCCAAATAATCGTTTCCTTGGACTGATGTAAATTACCTTACGATAAATTCAACGTAAAATACTGCAGGGTGCAACACTGTCATAACTTAATACTACAGGACATAACATCATCGTAATATATTACTGCAGAGGGTGACATCATTGTAACATATTACTGTAGAGCATAACATTGTCGTAATATAATACTGCGGGAAGTAATATTGACGTAATATCTCGGGGTGTAACATCATTCCCCCCTTTGGAACATTCGTCCTCGAATGTTAACTGATGCTCTTATCATTTTTGTAACTTATAGCTCTTGTGAATACATTAATACTCTTCTTTCCATGTAAGCAGTTTCTCTGTGAATAAATCCAAAGTCTAGGGTATTCTCCCCCTTTAGTGTTTCTACTCATATCATGACCTCTAGGTGCATTTATGTGATTCATCTTTCTTTTTTGTCTTTTATCTTTTAGTTAATTTCTAGGTCTTACTTTGTATATACAAGGCTTAATAGGATACCTCTCTAGGCCTCTATAGGTATACTAAAGTCCTTTGCTTGATACTTTGTAGAACTTGCGAATATAGCCATATCTTATTTCATAGATCTTGTTACCCATTCACGTGACTTTACTACATTTACATGGGTTATACTATACCATAATTTTCGCTTCAACCTACCTTTACTAAGGTACGCTTACCAAGATCCCAGTTACTTTTGTTGCCTATAATTTAGGTATAAATCTCAGTCCTTCAATTCTCCTTCATTACCGTTCGTATTAAGAATGAAGGCCTAATCTCATCTCATACTTTGTGAATTTTTCCCATCCATTGTTGATTTGACTTAATATTAATCTACAATATACCGCTGATAACTTGAAACTTATTATGTCATACCTTGCCACTACGGCTTACGTTCCTTCGAGGAATATTTGAAGTGATTTTCCTGATCCACTTAGGGGTGATACTATACTTTAATGACCGTATTTTATAAAATCCCAATGTGATTCACCTATGTGGGTATTCTCGTACAATCCATGAAATCCTTTTCAAATCACTACTCACTTGAAGTAATAAACGTCATCCTTTATCCATCACAATTACATCTTCATTGTATTACCAGGGCAGCATTCCATCTTTTCTAAATGCTACTAGTCTTAGACTCATTTGAGTTCATTCAGGCTATACTAAGCTTTTCCATAACTTAGAGAAACCATCAGCTCTTCTCGTTTTCATGGGCTTAATCCGGAGGACTTATCCATTTCCGTCACCTCCTCAATCGCCTTTTCTTATCCTTACTCTTGTCTTCCTAAAATCTTGTCGATCTACCATACTTTATCTTGCAACCTACACATATCCATTTATACTACTTGCAACCTTTTTTCAACTTACTTGTACCATAGATTTCCTTATGTTATTCTGGAATATCAAGCGAGACGTCACATCGTCTCTAACTATTCTATACTTTTTTACCTACACCTCTTGATACATAGAAAACATAGACTGGAAGATATGCCACTAACGATGCCACTATTATTCATGGATATTGAATCTCTGTGCTTATAACCTTTTATTCGAAGTATGGACTATTCACAACTTTCTGCATTTTAGTATCTCGTACGTTGTTCACTTTTACCTTACTTACTTAAAATCTCGTATCATATCTTCTATTTCTTTCATAACTTCCCTTCCACCTAGGTGTAATTCACATCCATAACTTGAAACTCTATTATAATACTTGCACCTATGGTACATGCACAATCCGGTGGGAGTTTCGCACTGACTTCTTTTGAGGCTGGTACTTCTTCTAACTTGCTTCCTTGTAGAGCCATTATAGATTATGGTTGTTGTGTTATTTATCTTGAACGTCTGATATTAAGAGCGATTCTGTCATGTTCTCAAGCACAACTTTTATAATTTTTCTAGGTCCAATAATCAGACTCCTGATTTACTTAGGTGATGTAATTCTTTCGTTTCCTCTTCCTTTTGATCATCCTAAGCTACCTTCTGATCCGTGGCTCATGGTATCAGTTATTACCTTAGCCTTTCATAGGCATTATGGAATATCTATGATACAATCTTCTAATAATTCAATCTTTTGTCTATGCCCTGGGCTCAATTCTTTCTTTTAACTTATACCAGAGTCTTCTACGACTATATGATTGTCAACAAATATGCTACCTGGATAATGTTCCAAAATTATGAGTGTATCCATAATGTACTAACTTTGGATCATTGATCAAATAATTCTTTTGTTTCGTATTAGCTTTCTTTCAATGTAAGCTATTATTTTTCCTGGTCTTTCTGCCCCCTTGTTACGTCCATACTTAGCTTATCTTAGTGCCCACACTTGCCAAAGTTTTCATACAACTCATATGATCTCAAATATTACTCTTAATTCTTACTTCCCGTTCATTAGCCGTGGTAGGTGCTAGTTTCTTTTGGAATTCTTACAATGTTGTTACGAGATTGTTGTTACACGACCATTTCCTCTTTAGGTCGTTGTGCTTAGGTTGAAGCCTTCTTACTCATCTCCTCAGCTAGTCTTTTTGTTGTAGTACTCAGGGAGAACCCTTGACTCTCGTAAAACTGGGAGCTTATTACGGACCTTTTTGATGTCCTTACTTGCCTATAATTACCCGTAGTTACTTACTTCCATGCCCTTGTGCTTGTATGGTTACCTCTGAACTGATATTTTAACTGCCTTCCCAGTGTCACTTTCTTTTATCCCTCTAACACTCATGCAGTACCTTTAACTACCCCAACGCTTGTTTGAATATTTTTCAAGTATTATAATGATATTCTTCGAGACTGAATTCTGCATGTTGGGTTCTACTATGTTTATCTTACATGATCTAATGACTCGTATGTAACCTCCTGTTTAGCCATAATTGGGATCTTCCTAACCAATTACTAACTACTCGTTGGTCCATTCTCATATCAATATTCCTTATAATCTTTCTTGGGTTATTTCCTTTGTCTTAACTTACGTCTCGCACTGGCTCCTTATTTATTAATAACAGTTCGGGCAGGAACGTTTACTTCCTTTACCATTGCATAGTTACTAGAACCACTTAATTCTGAATTAATGCCACATCACTCCATATTCCCCCCTTTAGGGGTGTACTAAAAGCTGAAGCCATAAGGATCTACCTATAGATGTTTTACCTCTTCATCTTTGGCGTCATTTCTCAACATCAATGATCTTTATTTGCCTCGCGGCAATCCTCTTGTATAAAGGAGGAGAAATTCCCTTACTCGCGAGGGTGACACTTAGCATAACTGGAACATACAGTCTCTTAAGCTTAACTTTGCTCACATTGCTTGCTCTAGGGAAGCGTCTCCCTGAATGACCATTCTCTAAATTCATCATAAATCTCCTTCTGTGGTCCGTCCTATTATTGCCGGAACTTGATCTGAAATTCTCAAGATGCTGACTATTATCAAATCAATCAGTTCCTAATTCATATTTAGTTTATCTTGTTCACCAGTCCATATTAATTTCTATTACTCTAGGGTCTAACTTTTCCTCTTAGTAATCGCGTTAGAGTTGCGAAATTATTTCTCAAAATGGGGATATGACCATATGGCCTATATTCTTTTATTGTCTTAAGGCCCATAACCTTTCATCTCTTCCTTCATTTGACTATAGGTTCTGTAACACTCTACCGTTTTCATCCATGTATCACACCTTATTCATAATGCTTCCTTATCTCTCTTCTCATTATTCTGCTAATATTTCTTCATATCCCTTTTCTTGTGAAAACTTCAATACGACATTCTTTCACTTTTAGATCTCCTTTTCTCCATTTAGTGGCTCTTCAAGTTTCTTAAAGTTCTCGCTTTACTAGGGATGCGAGCCACACTTAAGGTACTTTTATCCCTTCAAGGCTTATAGTGTGTGTCTTTGTAGTACTCATATCTGGCTGCACTATTTTAGAGTGCACCATCTAGGTGTCTCATAAAGAGATCTATTAGCACATTTTCAATATCCTACGGAAATGTCAACTGACTCAATCAATTCATCCATCATATCTTCTTATACTACTTTTGTTAATCCCCATAGGACATATCTGGAAGGGGTGCGACCAATTGTATATACCTATGTTACTATTGAATATAACTCAAAAAGCGTATGTTCCTCTGCCTCAATTATAAATGTTGTTAACCTTCATTAACTGGGTACCTCATACCCTTTTTCACCTTGCCCCTTTTACTTGCTGAAACTTGTACTTATCTTCTTAATCTCTCATTGTCCTTCACCATAACGATGGATAGGAATTCTTGTCTTAAAGCTTCTTATCAGAAAGCTTACCCTTTTCAGTACATCCATGATCTGGTAAAGACCTCATATTTACTTATCGTAGGCATCATACAAAAATCCAATCCTATGACTCAGCTCTTCCACAACTATCTCTCTTTCCAACCTTCTTTCTGGATGTAGGCATCGTCTTATTACAAAAAAAATAGAATTTCAAAACTTGGAATCTTATAAGTGAGCTCTACCACACGATCTAGAGTAAGAAGAAAGCGTGACAATCCT